ATATGGTATATAACAGAGGCCCTGAATGCTATCCACAGATTTTCCAGTCTTGATTTCCAGACTTGGTCGGCTAATCTGATTAAGCTTATATTGTAGGTGGGTTATCTATGTATCACTGATAATCAGCGTCACTGATAGGAACTAAGATAAGAAGATATCTTGGTACATTCCCACTGTGTGGAGGTGTGCCGAGGAGGGATCCGTATGAAAAATAATATGGACTGCTCTAAGAAGTTGGGCTGTGCCTACATGTTCAAGGGCACTGGGCCTAAGCCTTGAAGAGGTATAAATAGGGATAGTGATCTGGCTTGTTTTCTCAAAGACTTGGATAGGCAATCCCGACGAAGAGCCACTTTAAACAATGGAACCGCAAAACATATTGATGGAGTCAGTATATAACTGTGCAGCAAGTAGACAGACGAACATTGGCTGGTCCTAAGTTCGACTGCTCTAGCTCAAACATCTCACTCAGTAGCACCATTTCCTTACAGCCAAGCCAACGAGGATCATGGTAGAATGAATTAAGGTATTATGCAACGTATAACACATTTCGGAATCAAAAAGGTATAATGTATAAACGACAGCCCTGCCTCGAAAGAGAACAATGTTAAAAAAGGCGCACAGGCGACGAAAGAAGCTCCTAAACAAAGCTGGCGCGTCCACGTTTCTTTGTGGTTTTCCATCCGAGTTTCGAAGGTGTATCAAAAGCAAATCTATGGCGTGACTGGTATCGCAGCATCAGGGTTATGCGTTCTCCGACTGGAGTGTTTGCTAGGAGGCGAGGACGGTTAGTAAGTCCGAACAAAGATAAATACCAGCAACTTCACTTACAACCAGCCAGTCCATGCCCTCATTCAGACCTTTGCCATCAATAGCAGAGCATGCGACAATGCTCCAATTTCTGTCCCGCAGTTCGCCCAACTTCAGAGCCTCAGAGATCTCGCCGGCCCCCTTGGCGCCCGGCTGGTCCTGCTTGTTGGCAAACACCAACAGGGCCGCATCACGAAGCTCCTCCTCGTTGAGCATCGCCGCCAGCTCATCCGCAGCCGTGCCGAGTCGTTCAATATCTGTTGAGTCGATGACGAATATGACCGCAGCGGTGTTGGCATAGTAGCATCGCCAGTATGGACGGATGGATGTTTGACCTCCGAGGTCCTGTAAGAGGCAAGGAAGTCAGCCGAGAGGAACCCTCATCGCAATAATCTTCTGGGAACAAGGAAAATCGCAGTCGCCAAAAGTTGTTGTACTCACCCAAACATTGAAGTTCAAATTTCCATACGTCACCGATTCAACGTTAAATCCGATCGTGGGTATCGTCGTGACCACTTCACCAATCTAGAAGACTCCCGTAAGATTCCGCGACATGTATCTCATGATTATTCCAGGGCGCACCTTCAGTCGGTAAAGAAGAGTTGTTTTTCCAGCATTGTCCTAAGTAAGCGAAACCATTAGCCGCGGGAGGGGGTGATAGCTACAAACGGTAGCGTGACGTCGAAAGAACATACAAGTCCAAGGATCAAGATGCGGATTTCTTTCTTTGCCCAAACGAAGGACCAGAGACGTGAAAGCGAACCTCCCATCGCGGCGAAATTTAAATAAGCTGATCGTGGGCTCTGAGAGGGGGGGGGGGATGGAAGGCGTGAGACGGAGGTTGTCTTGTCTGTCTGTCTGTCTGTCTATTGTCTTTGCGGCGGGATCAGGGCGTTGGAGCGGTGGCGGAGATGCGGGCGAACACAAACACAACGATCAAGTCGTCCAAACAACTGCACCGATCAAGAAGTAAGTATGGTGTGCAAGGACCAATTCGGAAGAAGTGGACGAATATGTCTGTGAAGAAATAACAGATATGGCCCAAACCTACCGCAACAGCTCAACGAGCGAGGACCAAGAGCTGACTAAATGGTGGTGACCGTCATTGGCTTGCGGTCTCCTGCCGATCGGGCTGGCCCGAGCTCACTCAATGGAGAGTGTGTGTACTGTAAGTTAAAGTACTGTGTAGGTAGGTTAGTATCGTTCGTTCTCCGGATTCCCTTACCAGTTTATCGCTGGGTCGGTCGTTCGTTCATCGCTCAATCCCCTCACAACCTCCCTTCCCTGCCTTCCCTGCCAACTCTTTAATTGTCGCAACTTGATTTCCCTCCAATAGAGTGGGAAGTTGAAAACAGACGAATGGGTTTCTCATAACCACGATAATTTCAATCCCACCATCTCAAGACGAATTTCCCGTCATTTAAACCTACATCGCATCGCCGATTGCACAATCAGCCTTTCAATATGGTTGGGAAGAAATCGGGCAAGGCTCTCCTTCGGGATGAGGGTATGATCTCCAGTGCTATCCGACTCAACTGCCTTCGTCTGATTGATTGAGAATAGGTCTCGAGAGAACCGACAACAATATGGAGCTGTCAAGCTGGCCGCAAATACCTCCAATCAACCAGAAAAACTACTATACGTACGCTATCGCCTCCACCGCTATTAGTTCATATTGCCTTTCTTTACCTGACTGCCTATTATCACCTACACAGTGATTATCTCAAGCGCGATGATCAGTACCTTGCATTTCGACTGCAGAACGAGGAGGCGCGGAATCGAATGGCGAAGACAGCTAAAGACCGGGACCGTGCGCTGGCTATGGCCAAGGCGAATGACCTAGGACTACCAGAAGCAGAGGCAGAAGGCGACGGTGATACCAATATGGAGGACGCCGAGGAGACGACTGCCGAGACGGCGGGCTCCAAGGTGATCGTGGTCCACGTCGGAAGCCAGAACCTACGCATCGGACTAGCTAGCGACGCTTTGCCAAAGACCATACCCATGGTGATTGCGCGAAAATCGCCATCCAACGAAGCCGAAGATCACGAAGAGCCATGTCCAAAGCGGCTAAAAATGGACGATGGATCGGACTTGGAACCCGAAAAGATGTTCGGTCCTGAGGTTTGTCTCCAGCTTTCTTCTCTCGGCAGATTACGTTGCTGATTATCGCGCTCTGGTAATAGTTCGCTTCCCAGTACACGACAATGTCGGCAGAACTGAAAGCCCATATGCGACAAAACAAGCGTCGGACATTGCCAAACTCAAAAGAAATGGTCATCAACTACAATCGGAGGACAGTACCGGAAACCATTTCAGAGCACAATGATCCTATGCGGGTTGAATGGACCGAGCTCTCAGATCCTGCACCTGAGTACATTGTGGGACAAGCGGCTTTAAGGATACCCGATGCATCCAAGCCCCGGTATAAACTCTACTGGCCAATAAAGCATGGCTGGTGCAACGAGACAGACTACGACAACAAGAGACTCTTGTTTTTGGACATTTCGCTCATCCTCGAGGACGCGATCAAATCGCAACTAGGACTCACGAGCAAGAAGGACTGGCTTCAGTACTCATGTGTCTTTGTCATCCCAGACTTATACGAGAAGTCATACGTCACCCAAGTTCTGGAAATACTCATGCGAGAATTCGCCTTTGCTCGCAGCTGCTTCATCCAAGAGAGCTTGGCGGCCACGTTTGGTGCAGGGTTCACATCTGCCTGTGTGGTTGACATTGGTGCTCAGAAAACATCAATCTGCTGCGTGGAAGAGGGCATGTGCATCGAAAACTCGCGAGTGAACCTGAAGTACGGTGGTCTCGATGTGACCGAGACATTTGTCAAGATGATGCTCTACGACCACTTCCCCTATGCCGAGATCAACCTTTGGCACAGATATGACTTCTTGTTGGCCGAAGAGCTGAAGAAGAATGTTTGCACGATGAACGAGGCAAGTGTATCCGTGCAGGTCTACGATTTCCACCTTCGAGTCGCCGGCCAAGACACCCGGAAATACACATTCAAAGCCTACGATGAGATTCACCTGGCGCCCATGGGCTACTTCCAGCCATCCACATTCAACCACGAGGAGAAGCTCAAGGGCAGGAGAAAACTCATTGCTCGCTCAGTTGATATTTACGATGGACAGCCCAACGACCCTACATCGGCGGCTCAGTCCGAGATACTAACTGCTCTTGCCCCTCCTATCAACCATGGCCAGGTAAATGGCGATGCCCAATCGAATACATTGGAGGTGCAGGCTACACCGAGTCGATCCCAACAGATCAATGCTCTCAGCCGTGTACAGGAGCTGGACGCCACACCCCGATCGTCTGTTGCCGGATCGCCGGCACCGGAGACGCTGGGTACACCACTTCCCGGCGGGGCTACGCCTGTGCCTGCTGGCCAGGGCCAGAGCGCATTGCCTAACCGTCCGCCCACTGTTGAGGAACGCGATGACATCCTACCAAACTTCCCGCTGGACAGTGCAATTTTAACTTCTATTGCGCATGCGGCTCGTTCCGACGAACGTAAGATGCGAGATTTCCTTGGTGGTATTATGGTCGTGGGAGGCGGAAGCTTGATCAATGGCTTTCACTCATATCTTGAAGAGCGTCTCCAGAACCTTCGACCAGGATTTGCCAAGGAGATCATGATCGGCACTCCTCCTCGGGATCTCGACCCGCAGGTCGTTGTCTGGAAAGGCGCAAGCGTCTTTGGAAAACTGAGTGGAACCAATGATAGCTGGATAGGGCAGCTGGAATATGATCGCTTGGGACATAGGTTGATGGCGTACAAGTGCATGTGGTCTTACTGATTTTCGCATGATGCCTTGGTGGCCTTTTGGCATTTTGCTTCATTGAATAATGGTCGGTGTTGGTGGGTATCGGATTACCTATGATACAGGTTATAGTCGCTCTATTATATCCTTGGTTGATATGTATTATTTCGAGTTGTTCAATGTTTTCAGAAAGGGGTTTTCCGTCTCATTATCATGCTATTTTCACTCTTCAATCTCCCGCAATCGAACTTGTGTAGTAGACTGATATACATTGACCATTCGCTTGCGGAGAAACCACTTTCCGAGACGTTTGCATCTCATGAGTAGTAGGCGGTCACAGAGTGCAGAATGTCTCCAACTCAGACAGGTGAGTTTGTCCTGAATCCTCTAGTCCTAGCCTGTAGTGCACGCATGTCCTCAAAACTTCCTTTAATATTATACCTTAAATGCATACCCGTTCGAATTTGGCTTCAGCTATAAGGACGTGACCGGAACCCCGAAACCGGTTCTCAAGCTTGAAAATTCTTGGAGGGCTTAAAACCCCGGCCACCTAGGTAAGTCAAACATGCGACCACCAATGATGAGAGCGCCTGTGAACTGACACGCCCGACTCAAGAGATCAAGTATCTCTATCCAAGCTTAGCAACAACCTATAATAGCCGATAGCAGATATCCCCGACGCTCACAAGACACAATGTCGAAATCCAAGGACAGCAGCTCCTCGGGGGGCTTTCACCAAGAGTACATCGCATCTCTTCGCTATCGCAATGACCTACCTCCGCCGGACATGCCTCCGAAGTTCATGGAGATACCTCATGAGGGCCTCCAACGATTTTTGACCCCGGGTTTCACGGCCAATCTGGCTCGTCGCGAGGAGCCCAACATCGATGTTGACGCCGAGGGTGGTATGCCCCTCGACTTGGTCGGTATTCCCGGCCTGCATCTGGGCGATGAGAGTGGTGCGTTTGTCAATCCTGTGCGCATAAGGTCGTTGGAGCAATTGCTGACAGCATTCAACGTGTAGCGATCATGGCTCCCGAGAACCCCGAACCCCTTGACCCCGCCGATCTCGCACTTCTCATGACACCGGAACAGCTGAAGAACCCTGCCCCGAAAAACACCAACGTCAGTTTCCTCCGTCGCACACAATACATTTCTGCCGGGCTTCGTGCGCCGGACAGCCCCAAGGTCACGACAGTCAGAACAAAGTCGCGTTCCCTCGACAAAGGCCGGTCACAGGATGACCCTATCTATATCAAGAAGTACATCCAGAAAGGGTTCGACATCGCGTACCCCAATAGCAAGCATGTTGTCGAAGATACGGCGAGCAGCATCAAGGGTCACACTGCGACGAAGCTCGAACTCGATGCATGGGCTCATCCAGTGCATCCTGACAATCCTAAATTGAAGCCGGTCGGGTTCTTCCCTCTCCTTCCTGATCTACAAGGATTCCCTGATCCAGGAGGCTTCGTTCAATTCAAGTTCGATAAAACACCCATCCAGGAGATATCAAACAAGAGAGACAAGCGCATGGATGTGGCAATTTTACATCCGTCTGCACCAGAGGAGCGCATATGCGAGGAGCACGCGACCAAGGCCGCCCTGCACAAGTCAAATCCTGATTTGTATCCTGACCCCGGTCCCATTCCCTGGGACTACGATCTGTTCTTACCCGAGAAGAAAGAGATGGCCAAGAGCGTTTCTGCAAGTCTGCAGTTGACCAACCCGGACCGTAATAGTGAAGAGCTGTACACTCATGACGGGCCTGACGGTACCAAATTTCACCGTTACGATCGTGCTCGTACATATGCTACCAGCGCTCAAACCCTCGGTGATAACCAGAAGCAGCGAGACATAGCCGTCACGCTTTTTGATCCTTCTGAGGTGCGAGGAGGCCAGCGAGATAGCTTGTCTGCGAGACAGATGGCCGCCTACTACTATCCCATTCTTGGAAAGACTCGCTTGAAGCCCGAGAGAGCCCGTACCATTGCGCAGGCGGGTCTCGCTCCTACGCGGCCCAAGACGAAAGAAGACCAAGTTGATCAGATGCAAGTGGTCATCCGCGATCCAGATGAGGCGGAGGCATACAAGCGGGCCCAACACAGACTTGCCATTGACCCGAAGTACTCGAAAAGTATGCCTCCCGCCCCGGAAGAACCCGAGCCGGAAGCCACCAAGGATGAGGACGAGTTCGATGCATCTGCTCAGCGCGACGCAAGCGTTGAGCGGGAGCCAACTCCTCACGATGCAGATGACGACGATATGAGCGACGAGTAAACCAGCCACCGCATCGCTCTTGTCTACCGCCATTCCTATTCACGTGGGGCAGTGGTATTCATGCCTATCATGCCCTGCTCCTTTTACTACTGGGTGTGCATTGCATTTGTTTACATACTCTCTCATTCGTATAATACAAGTCTTTTCTTCAGCTTCTTCACCAAACATTGCTGTCGTCCGCTACTTCAGATGTTCCCAACATGTACCAAGCAGATGCATGCACTCTGGACGGCTGAGACAGCCACGAAGTCATGGCAGCAAAAGGACAGGCGTTCCAAGGCGGTATGCGTGATCTTGGAGTTCTGAAACATAGCGAAAGTTCACTTCAGCTCGATTGGGTTCCTTATCTTGTGCTCAAATCTGCACTCACCTGCATTCCTCAACGCTAGACATCTAGTATCTATTTGCGTTTCCAAGTTGGACGATGCTGGCGGATTGGACAAGCACACCTTGTATTATACCGTAAATATCTATTTCTAGTCAATTGAACATGGAAATCTGACGTGCTGATCGCTGATCTATTGTCGATTACTATCAATCCTCGTAATACTACACACCGCCTTGCCGCTTGTCCCTCCGCATCCAGGCCCGCATAATTCTGCCGCTTGAATTCACCCCACCGCCTCGTAAACCGTCCGTTGTCGGCTTGGCTTCGGCGCAAAGCCGGCTGTATCCCCTCCTTCCCGAATCGGGGCTCTTTTCTCTACTACTCAAGCCTACGATTGCTGCTCAATTTCGGCTCGCTTCACTTTCCCATCAAGACTGTGCTCTCAATTGCACGCAACTCAAGCATTAGGCGGGTGTGGTAAGTCGAATTTTGTTGTTCTTCCCTTCCTCATGCAGCCATTTCCAACCCGCGCGGTTCCACTCCGTTTTCGCGGGGAATGGCAGAAAGAACCGGAACCTTCAGTGAAGGCCATATGCAGTGGCCTGGGCTCTCTGCGACTCGTGAAATACCAGACGCTCTTATACGCTGCGGCAGAGGCACTCCGTCACAATTGCAACAGTTGAATCACTTGGTTTAACACATTCACATACTTGTTATACCTGTCCCATCCTCGCTGGAAGTTGCTCCATCTACCATACACATCCCAAAGTCGTCGACTTCTTGGACCTCCTATCCCTCCTTCACCTGCAATTCCCTTTTAATGCCTCTTCTGTATAGCATAGAAAGCTCTTACTTACCAGCATTGAGCACGTCACTTATAACCATCTAACTAACACCCTACCCACTACCATCCAGATAGGTCATCAACCTTTCTCAACCTCCCTGAAATCGACTTCTTCCCGGCGAAGAACGCAACACTTGACAAGAATTAGAACAATCACCCTTTACTGACGCCGCTCCCCTGGAACCAACTCACAATGGCCGCCAACGCAGTCTGGAGGGCCTCGCGAGCCCGCGCACTCCCACGCTCTCTGCGCCTCCAGTGCGCCGCGTCCCCCGTTCCCTCCTCGATGCTCTATCGTCGCTCGACGCCGTTCCCCGCGCAACTCATGGGTCAGGTGCGGTTTGCCTCGTCGGGCGAGAAGGCCACGGAGGCTGCGGCCGAGGCCGCCGAAGCGACTGTGAAGGAGAACGCGGCCAAGGCTGCGGAGACTGCGGAGACGGTGGCGAAGGAGGCACCCAAGAAGGCCGGCCGTGGGCTCAAGAGGACGGTCATCGGAACGACGCTGGCGTTGGGCGCTCTCGTCGGGTACGTGTATGCCACGGATACTAGGGCCAGTGTGCATCGGTACGGTGTGGTTCCGTTGGTTAGGACGTTGTTTCCCGATGCGGAGGATGCGCATCACTTCGGCGTGGATATCTTGAAGACGCTCTACAAGTACGGTCTTAATCCCAGAGAACGGGGTAATCCGGACGGAGATGGGTCATTGGTGACGGAGGTAAGGCCTGGCTCCTTTGGTGCGGAAGAGGGTCTATCCATGACATCTTGCTGATTTTGTTCCGCCGTCGTTAGGTCTTCGGATACACTCTTTCCAACCCTATTGGTATCTCTGGCGGACTGGACAAGCACGCTGACATCCCGGATCCGCTGTTTGAAATCGGGCCTGCAATTGTCGAGGTCGGTGGAACGACCCCTCTGCCGCAGGATGGGAATCCCCGTCCTCGCGTGTTCCGTGTCGTTTCCCAGAACGCCATGATCAACCGCTACGGCCTCAACTCCAAGGGTGCCGACCACATGGCTGCCGTGCTTGAGCAGCGCGTCCAGGATTTCGCCTACGCTAATGGTTTTGGGGAGCATGAACTGGCTGAGAAGCGCGTGCTCAACGGCGAGGCCGGCGTGCCTCCAGGTAGTCTGCGGCCCGGCAAGCTTCTTGCTGTGCAGGTGGCTAAGAACAAGGTCACCCCTGACAACGACATCGAGGCCATCAAGCGTGACTACGTGTATTGCGTGGACCGCGTGGCTAAGTACGCTGACATCCTGGTTGTGAACGTCTCCAGTCCCAACACCCCCGGTCTGCGTGACCTCCAGGCGACTGCTCCCCTGACGGCCATCCTGAAGGCCGTTGTCGGAGCTGCCAAGAGCATTGATCGCACCACCAAGCCCTATGTCATGGTGAAGGTTAGCCCCGACGAGGATGCAGACGAGCAGGTCTCTGGCATCTGCCAGGCTGTGTGGAGTTCCGGTGTGGACGGTGTGATCGTCGGTAACACCACGAACCGTCGTCCTGATGCTCTCCCCAAGGGATTCACCGTACCGGCTGCGGAGCAGGAGACCTTAAAGGAAACGGGAGGTTACTCCGGACCCCAGCTGTTCGACCGTACCGTCTCGCTTGTCGCTCGTTACCGGGCGATGCTCGATGCCACTCCCAACACTCCGGAGCTGACGGGAGCCGCCGCGGAGGCCACCACGACCGCAGCCCAGGTCGAGCCGGACACAGAGAACACTCCCTCGATGGAGCCTCCGAAACCCTCGGACAGCCTGGCCCGGAAGGTCATTTTCGCTTCCGGCGGTGTCACTAACGGCCAGCAGGCGCAAGCAGTTCTGGACGCTGGAGCCTCGGTTGCAATGATGTACACGGCTATCACTTACGGGGGCATGGGAACGGTCACGCGCGTGAAGCAGGAGATGCGCGAGGGCATGAAGCAGCAATAGATTTGTTGAGAAGTGTTTAAAAAGAGGGGCTGGAGTGTTTTTTTTTGGGGGGGGGGGTTACTCGTCCATAGAAGGAGATTCCGGGTCCGGTCCCGCTGTCGCTGTAAATAGATTAAAAGTAAGTCAACTGTTAGACCATCAATAGTCCCACCGAGCCTCCTAGCCGGGGGAGGAGATGAGGCATGAAGCATGAAGCATGAAGCATGAAGCATGAAAGACCGAGCCACTAATGATGCACCATTTCCATAATAAGCAGTTGGGGAAAAGGTCAGGTGCCCCCACGTGTTTTTTTTCCTTTCCCCGCACGGGACCAACTCCGCGCAAGTTCGACGGTAGTCCAGATCCCCGGAAGCACCAAGAACAACCATCCCGAGCACGAGAAGAGAAGTTGGAGACTTGGCAAAGCATTGTCGCCCCCCGGCGGATAGGCAGCATGTCACTGCATTGTTTCGGCATTGCCTTTTAGAGAATAGCCAGCTTCGAAATAAATATTCGTGGAGATTTCAACTCGTATCATGTCAGGTCAGGTATTGATTGGATCCTGCCTCGTACTGCCATTGCTCAATGGAATAATCGCGTACCGACTTGAAACGGGTTCAAATACACAGGAACAAAAGTCTTCCCGACTTTGACCTTACTCACGCCGTCAAACCTATCGTCTCCTCGACCTCGCGAACCACCTTGCGAACCCCATCGATCTCGTGGGCGAACCTCCCCAGGAACATGCCATCGACGGCCTTGCCCAGCCCGCCCGCGCCCCACAGCCCGGGGCCGGCACTCCCCCCATAGAGAATGCGGACCTGCCCCGCGCGGCTGCCGGTGGTACCACCACCACTCCCCATGACCACAGCCTTGATCCCCTCCACCACCGCCGCAATATGCTCCACGCCCGCGGGCGCGGGCTTCCCAATCGCCCAGACCGGCTCGTAGGCGAAGATGACCGGCGCGTCCGCGGGGATGGCGGCCAGCACCGCGCGCACCTGGCCCGCACACTCTTGCACCGCGCGGCCGACGGCCTGCGAGGCCACGGGGCCCGGGGCGGTGACCTCGCCGATGCAGACCAAGGGGACCATGCCGTTGGCGCACACGGCGGCCGCCTTGCGGCCGGTCTGCTCGTCCGTCTCGCCGAAGAGATCGCGGCGCTCCGCGTGGCCGAGTTCCACGATCGAGACGCCCAGCGCCCGCAGCGCGGACGGCGACACCTCGCCCGTGTAGGGGCCTCGAGTCTCCCAGAAGCAGTCTTGGGCGCCGAGGAGGAATGTCCGGTCTTGTTGTTCTTGGGGTGACGCTGTCGCTGCTTCCCATTGCCTGATGATCTCGGCGCAGGGGTAGATGGTCAGGAAGTCGGGGATGAGGGCTAGGAGGAGCTTGGAGTGGTGGTGCGAGGGTCGGACGATGTTGTTCTGCGGGTCGAGGAGGGCGCGGCAGTATTCTTGGGTCTGGGCGGGAGTGAAGTACATCTTCAGGGAGATGATGAGGAGGGTTGGGGGGAGGGTGGGGTATGTTAATGTCATGGTGGGTGGTGATGGTGGTGGTGATGGGAACAATAGTTGTGGTGGTGGTGGATGTTCGAACAGTCGAGGTTCAAGCTGTTGGCTCGGGGATATGGCAAGTTCAGAACCACTTGGAGGAACCCGAGGAAGCGGTCTACTAGTCCCAGATCGGGAGCCTTGCTGTCACACTACTTGAATCAAAGAGGAATGTCAGTATTGGTTATCGGAGCGATAGGATCGGATGACGGGGTGGGGTAAAATGTTGCTGGGAAAGGAGGGGCTGGCCGCTGCAGTGGCGGAGGGGCACCGTATGCCCTTCAACTAGTTCATAGACTACTCCGTACCAGGTCTGGTGCATGTGCTACTTCCGTGTTGCATCTCTAGTTTCAGAGAAGCAATCAAAATTGAGATTATGAATCTGTGCAGGTTTCTGGCATGTTTGCTGTGACCGAAAGAGCAGGGCAGAGCCAACTTCAACCGGAGGGGGAAAGAACGCAACTGACATCGCATACCATACCTGGCTGGTGCTTGGAACACGAGATGATGTCAACGCACAGTACCGGCACATCTCATGGAGAGATGGAAACTCTACTCTACTCTACCATATGGGACTTCGCTATTCTTCTGTAATCTCGTGCTGAGAATGAAGATGGGTGCGATATCGTGGCACGGCAGGAGGAGGGGTTGATCGACCCGTGGCTTGCAGCATGGTACGGATGACTCTCTTCAGTGAGTACGGTAAGATACGGAGAGTCGCAAGATCCGGAATCGCAGGCAACATACTCATCCATGATAGATCAGAGGCAGTCGACTACAGTGCATAATCCTAATTGATGGGCTGCACTCAACAACAATCAATGTATAAGATGACTACGGAGTAAAAGTAGTCTAGGCACGTTGGCAGCTCAGTCGATCCGCCGTGGGGCAGCGGGTGGAGAATCGAGCGTGCAATCCACTCCAAAACCCACTCCGATGTGCGCCGCGCCTGGATCCATGAATAAGTTAGAGGTATCTACTTCATACGGTAGTCCCTATGTACAGTACTTCGTACCGTACCGGACAGAGTCGAAATTTTCGGCTTGGAAGACACATCACTGCATCGGCGCAAACATATCATATGCAATCTGCAACATTCCTCTAGAGTGTGATGATGTTCCGCCCACCCCATTGGGTGTCATTGTCTGGAAGCTCCTCAAGTTTTGGTCGGCTTCATTAATGGACCAGAACGGCAGCCCATCGACAACTAAATCATGTCTCCTGCTGGTTCCGACTTTACCCTGGCCTGTCTTCGCAAGGATAGGAGATTGTGCCTGCTGATAGGGCGAGTAAAAGCCTCGTTCAGTCTGCAGTTCATACTCTTCTGGGTTAACAATTTGTCCTCCCCAAGGCAATTTAACCACGGCAGCCACTGCGGCGTAACCAGGCACCGGGTTTGAGCCTCCCATGTCATAAAGGTTACTCGGGTAATCCTAACAGAGCCGGAAATGTTGGATTGAAGAGAGTCGATCAATCGTCAGCACGGCGAGGAGCTGGTTTGCGCATCAATGGATGATAGACTTGATACGTCGATCTGCATACCTTAGCTAGTACCAGCCATCTACAAAGAGAGAAAAAAAAAAGGGCTTCCTCGGTTCTTCTGCAAGCCACCGAGCATGAGGCAGAGATAGATACCAAACAACGACTTAGGAATGCATGGGTGGTGTAGTCGTGTACTTGAGAGGCGGTGTCGAGGAGTAAGTCAAACCGGTACAGACGCTATCCGAGGATGGTTAGTTTGCTCTGCACTGGAAAGGATCGGTAACAAAGTTACCGAGTATACATTTCAAGGCAAGAAGAGCATTGCGATCCAAACATCAAACACATTGATTTCAAAATTTGGTGCCTGGCTGGGAGTCGCGTCCAGAGCCGAGGATAATTGTTGATAAACTACCTAAGCCTGGCGGACGACTGGAGGATGAACGGATCCATTGTGGATCATTTAATATTGGTTCCATCATGTTGGATGCAACGCCGGGTTTCCGAATTTGGACGATTATCTTGGTATCCATGATGGATCAGTAGGTAATAATTTAAGGTACATTAATCGGAACAGATATCGGGAGTCTCCCTTTCCCCGGCGGATAAGTTCATGACGCCATGGAGGTGGACCTGCCAGACCCAACCATTCAATCAACCTGCATTCCATCGAAACAGGCTTCTTTGGAACGATCGCTGGTGTGGAGACAAGCGACCTCAGATATTGTTCGTACTGCACGTACTGCAGTCTTACTGCAACTGAATGTGCTGAATGCACCCGATGCTGTCGAAGGCGCTGATTGGAGCAGTGAGCAGTGTCCTCTCCCCTCATCGAATACCAAAGTTTGGGTCTCAAGAGGCACGCACGCACGCACCCAGGCTCAGCCTGCATTCTGTTCGGGTCCCAACAGAAAGAGAGCTCGAGGAAGGACTCGGTGGAGGAGGATATAAAGGCTGATTCGATCCCACTCCCAGACGACATTTTTTCATCATTGTTCCATCATCCACTCTTGTCCTTTATCAGACATACACTCCACCCTTCCTGTCCGTCTCATTCGCGAGGGTCCATTATACATTACATCTCACCTGTTAATCGCTTAATACCCATCATGTCTAACGATCTCAAGCCCCTCCGCATCGTCATGGCCTGCGATGAGGCTGGTCAGCCCTACAAGGAAACTCTCAAGGCCGCCTTGGAGAAAAACCCGCTGGTCGACTCTATCCTCGACGTAGGCGTCAACTCCACTACAGACAAGACAGCGTACCCTCATCCCGCTGTCGCTGGCGCCAAACTCATCAAGGAGGGCAAGGCAGACCGCGGGCTGTTCATCTGCGGCACTGGTCTCGGGGTCGCTATCTCTGCCAACAAAGTACCCGGGATTCGTGCTGTGACGGCTCACGACTCTTTCTCCGTCGAGCGCTCAATCCTTAGCAACGATGCTCAGGTGCTCTGCTTCGGCCAGCGCGTCATTGGTATTGAGCTTGCCAAGAAGCTCGCCAACGAGTGGTTGACCTACCGCTTCGACCCCAAGAGCGCCTCCGCCGAGAAGGTCCAAGCTATCTCCGACTACGAAGCCCAACTCTTCAGTCAAGCTGCTGCAGCTCAGTAGACAGTTTGAAGCAAGAACAAGCCCTGTGTGAATTTAGGACACATTATCCGTCAATCACTCGAAACCCCCTCTGCTCATCAGAGGTTGCGAAGATCGTTAGCCTGTCTTCGATAATAATTTTCGAGCGAAGCGACCTGGTTGCGGACTGGATCCGAGCCTAGTCACACTTGAACGCATATATAAACACCTACCTCAAAACGAGATTGACGATAACCGCCTGATGAATGGGATTATATTGGCAGGCCAATTGCTCATGTCCTCTCTAGCTCTGACTTAGCAAAATTGTGGTTCAATGAAATACCAACTGAGACTTCAATATGACCGTAGCAGCCCGTAGTCACCATATTTTGACTTCCATCCCATCATTTCGCGCAACGTCTTTACTTGCTCTCTCCAAACTCCATACACTGCCTGCGACTAGTTACCCCATACTTTCGTTCTGCGGCTAATGTGCTGACTCAGCTATCATTCTGCGGGGGTCGATCAGCTTCGATTTACAAAAGGACAGGAGCAAGTCACAGATACATCAAGGGTCGTGTCTACCTGAGCAACAATGGCGCACAACCCTCCTGACTGCTCCGGGCTTCCCTTTCCAATGAGGACAGCGCCAGTCCGCGCCTCCCCTACCCAAACAGCGGCGAAGTGCTTTGCTTTCTTACCGTGAGACATACTGACTGAGCCTACGCCGGTCGCGTGTCTTACCATCCAAGCACACCCCCCTTTTAGGCCCCCTTTCCAACACAATCGCGCTGCATACATGAGGTAAAAGCATTTTCAGAACTTCTACCGCCGTTCTACTGTATCGCAGGACCGCATTAGCTCCGCACCGAGCAGTGGATCATCACTGGACTGGGCCCCACCAGAAACCGATCGCTCCGCTCAATTACTCATTCACTGGCACCAACACAAAAAAAAGGGACCAAACATTCTCACAGACACGTTGTTGAGGCCTCGCATCAAGCACCTTTCTGAGCTGCCAAATTGACCAGAGCCCCGACGCTCTCGGATATCTCCTTCTGTTTTCGCACCCAGAATCCTCAGACCCTGTGTACGGCGGGCACGGTAGCACCCCAACAATGGCCTTCGAACTCAAAGAGAAGGGTAACCAGCTCTACAAGGCGGGCGACTATGCCGGTGCGGAGGAGATGTTTTCCCAAGCGTGAGTCCAGCCTCAATACACGGGGAAGAAATCGAGGAGTCCTGCCCCTTCTTGCTTGCGAGAGTCTTCCTCGCCTGTCATGCTGCAAAGACATTTTGCCAACTAAATTGCCCCGGGGCTCCCGCTGCAGTGTCCAAAAGAACCCGAAAGAGCCTACGTTCTTCTCCAACCGGGCGATCACCCGCATGAAGCTCGAGAACTGGGCCGGCGTCGAGCAGGACGCGCGCGCCGCGATCGACTTGTACGGCGCGAAGAACCCCGCCAGCCTGAAGAGTCGCTACTATCTGGCGCAGGCCCTGTTGGAGCTGCAACGGCCGCAGGAGGCACACGAGGTCGCGACGGAGGCATACCGGGCGAGCCTGGCGGCCAAGAATGTGCAGTCGGAGAATCTGTCCAAGACGGTCCTGCGCGCGAAGCAGCAGCTGTGGGCAGCGAAGGAGGCGGCCCGCGTGCGGGAGATGAACGGCACTCTGGCGACTGTGGAACGGTTGATCGAGGCGGACCTGCAGCGAGCGCTGGAGGACCTCCAGGGACAGTTGGACCGCGGGGAGATCGGCCAGATCGGTTTCTCGGAGGACCAGAAGGCGCTCCGGGAGGATACGGAGAAGACGCTCCAGGTGTTGCGGGAGACGTTTGCCATTGCGTCGAAGGGGGAGGTTCAGGAACGGGTGAGTTTCCTGACATAGCCGAGGCATTTTGGGGTCTAGAAAGCTGACTTTTATGTGACTCCCACTCCTACAACAGGTTGTACCCGATTACCTCATCGACCCGATCACATTCGAGATCATGCACGATCCGGTGATCACGCCGTCCGGGACCAGCTTCGAGCGTGTTGCGATCACCAAGTACGTGGAACAGTCCAAGGTCGACCCGATCACGCGCGTACCCATGACAGCGGATGACCTCCGGCCCAACTATGCGTTAAAGGGGGTGTGTGAGGAGTTTCTGGAGAAGAACGGCTGGGCGGTTGACTGGTAGATCATGAACTGTACCTCGACATTTTGAGTCTTTCTTGAGCGCAGTTTGTCAAGTTACAAATCGGTTGGGCGTTGGTGGATGGATCAGATGCTAGAGTTGTCATTCTGTTTTCCCCTTTCTGTGTTCATATTCCGGTGTTAATTTATCATTCCTAGATGCACATAGGCATAAAGCTGTCATCAATAGAACATCTACAGTACTACTGCTGCGAACCAATCAGCTAATCTTCTGGACAGCTAACAATTGGATGAGAAACACAAACGTGAATCTCTCAACAATCCCCTCTTTCTCCAAGCGTCAACCCCACCAAACCAAACCCAAACAAACCAAACAAACCCACCCCCTCCACCCCCACCACAACAACCATTGACCAAGTCACACCCCCTCCATCAATCCATCAATAATCCATCTGATTTCCCCTCTTCTTTCGTCCCTTTACCATTCCCACTCCTCAACCTCAACCCCAACCCCCTTTTCACAAGCAAACAAAAAAAAGAAAAACACCCTCCAAAATGTCCGTCTCCGCCTTCACCACCGCCCTCTCGGCCGCCCAGTCCAAGGCCCAGTACACCCCCGCGGTGCAGGCCGCCGCCGACAAGGTCAACACCGACGCCTTCTCCGCCGCCATCGCGGTCGTCCTGGCCAGCGATGACAGCGCCTCCGTCGAGGGCGAGCAGGCCGCCGCCCTGCAGAGCGCCTTCGAGTTCGCCACCCTGCTCGTCAAGCAGCTGGCCTCCGAGCCCGGGCAGACCGAGATGTTGACTGTATGTGTTTTCTTTTTGTGTCCAGAAGAGCTTCTCCAAGGAGAACTATGATCAAATCTTTAAATTGCCGATGCCGATGCTGATTACTTTTGTTCTGCTCGACAGCTTTACAAGTACTTCAAGCGCTCGAAAAACGACGAGCCCGCTCAGCCTTCTTTCTATCAGTTGGAGGTGAGTTGACCGTACCATACCAAACTGGTTTTGCATTTACCCCTGGAGGCTGGAAGGTAGTCTCTAAGGGGGGTTGAGGAAGAAGTGGGCTAATTAAGCATGCACCATAAACAGTCCAAGTACAAGTACAACGCCTGGAAGGAGATCAGCCACATCAGCCAGCAGCGCGCTCAGGCCAACTACATCAAGGAGGTTAACGACCTCATCGAGAAGTACGGTACCCAGTAGATGACGGAAAGAAAGCGTGACTGAGACATACCTACATTTGTTGGTTATGGAACTCTGGGGACTTTTTTTGCTATCTGCTTTGGGTTCTCGCTTTTTTTCTTGGTTCAATTCTCTCTTCCATTTGGCCTATGGATAGTCGAATGAGTGTGTGTGTGCCCTCTTGATTATGCAATGTTATGAGCGAAGCAGCATATTCTGCCGTCCGTCTTGTTGTTGAATCCCCGAATTGAGGTAGGGGTGTCGATTGTATAGAGTTGAGGGGGTGGTGTGTGTGTGTTGGGTAAGTCATATATATATGTCGAGTGCTCTGGTTCCGCTTGGGCTTTCCATTCTCAACCTTCCCATGTCTGTCCAAGCCAGTCGGGCTCGCTGTGGTTGGCTGTGGCGCACCAGGGGATGTCTTCTGCGTGATACCGAGTTAGAGGAAGATCGTATGGCATCCGGAATCCGACTGTGACGGCGGCATCGTCTGCAGCGGCAGCGGGGGTGTCTGTTCGATGGCACGGCGTCATCACTGTCTTCGCCGGAGCAGTGGTGTCGGTGTCCGGTGGTCCTCTGTTCAACAACTTCGGCCACACCACCACGCCGATCTCCCAGCTGCAGATCCGCACCTCCCCGTTCGCATTGACCGCCGCACCCCACGCCTGTGTAGACAGATTCGCCGACGTGACCATAGCCCAATCTATCGTGGTCATCTCTTCCGTAGAGAACCGGATGTATGTTTTGATGTGCGGCGCCGCACGTCGGCGGCCCGCTTCGCGTCGTGGTTCGGCGGGTTGCTGATCATCATCATCATCCCCTGCCCAACGGCACAGAAAGGGCCGCATATACTGTAGCTGCTTCTGCTGGGCCGCGCTCTGCAGTTTCATGTGGATAGAGCCACCGGATCCGTACCCGTTCAAGGAGCGCCGGATCTCATCCGGCGTGGGAAAGACAATAGAGTACCGCGGTTTGGAGGCCTCTCTTTTAGGCGCCAGGGATGCGAACAGGACATCTCTCAACCATTTGTCTGTCTGCCCGAGTGACGCCACCGAGGAGATCTGGAGCAGATCAGCATGATCCCATATTTGCAGTAGTAGCAGTAGCACAAGCACCGATAAAGACAGAACCTCAAACTCACCTGAACAACAATATGCGGCCTCTTCTCCTTCTCCTCCTTTTCCTTTTCCTCAAAGCCTTCGCCCTCCTTCTTGATATCACAAACGGCGAGAGGCACATCCTTCAACACATCCTTCAACGCCACCCAGCCCCAAAGCGTCTTGACCCGCGCATTCGCCTCACTCAACTTCTGCTTCGACGGCACGCTGGCAACGAGAGCCGCCCGCACAGCCCCAAAATCATACTGACGCAGTTGCCGGACCAGCGGGCCCGTCTTCTTGGACCCATACTCACCCAGATAAGCCAGCAGGTCTCGTTTGAACCTGGATCCGGACCCGGGGAGTTGTTGGGAGTCGTCGCTATCGCTCGGATCAACTGTATCTCTCCTCGTGCTCAGAGGCAGGAGAGGGGATCGCCACACCGCTTGGGTCATATTCGCCCAATCCCCCGGGATCATGTTGGCCGTGTGGATGACAACTCTATTTCCTCAAGGTTCAGCTCACAGCTCCCCATTCACATACAAACGTACACTTCTTACTAGGGAAGCGGGAAAGAGACGCACTGGGCACAATCATCGTGTCGCAAGAGAACCATCATCTTGGAGTGATGGGTCCCGAAGGCTTCGGGCATGTAGGCCACGATCGCCTCGACATTGGGGTATCGTGCGCATGCTTCCTGAGGTGGAGGTGTTAGTCAACTGTGATTCTCTGGGGTCTTGAATTCGTGACGGGAAGAAACATACATCAATGCGCACCCGGTTCGGCGCCTCTCGCTTCCACGACCCGTGCACCACCTTCAGCTTGACAAGGGCTCGCACGTCCTCGTCGAACTGACTCATCAGGAAATCTACATCGTGGAGGTAGTTGAATTGCCAGCATTCGCGGATCATGGGGTCGCCTAGGATCTCGCGGAGTCGGACCGTGTCGACATTGTTGCCGGAGGAGGGTGGGAAGTCTCGGATGTGGGTGAGTTGGATGGGCGAGGGGAGGACTTTCTGGTCCAGGCTGCATGGTTGCTGTGCTTTGCTGGACGAAGAGGATATGGAGGAGTCGTGGGCTGGTGGCGGTCGTGCGGGGTCCCTGAGGGAGCGGGATGACAATGGGGGTGTAATGGAGCGGTGCAGCGAAGCTAGGGGTTTGATGAGATCGGTGCTATCGTCATGACTAGGCGCATGGTCTCCGTCAGAACCCTCGGGCTTCGTAGCTGTCGCGAGAAGTTTTGCTCGTTTCGAAGGACGGTCTGGTTCGTCCATCGTGGGGCAGACTCAATGAAAGCGAACAAAAAGTTGGAGAAGTGAGGTTGGTGCGGAGAAGGAAGTGGGCGGAGCAATCAATTGTCGGCTTGCGTACCACCGCAGCTGCCATTCCACCATCGAAGGTCTACTATCATCTTTGATACGTTGTCTGGCTAGTTTACCACAGATAGTCAATTAATCATACTAGTAATACACTATTTTAAATCGATTCTATTTACTATACACTCTCAACCAAGCCCCAATCTCACCACATGAACCGCTGGATCTTGCCTGGTTCCTGCGGCCATTCGAACCCACAGTACAAGAAAATGTATCCGGTCACCGCGTTGATAACCAAGAACCAGTAGGTCTCCAAGAACAACGGAAAGTTGGTAGCCATCTTTGCGTTGAGTTCATCAATAGCAGTCTGGGGACGCCGGTGCACCAACGGCGTCGGCTGCGGCGGAAGGTGAAGACGCCACATGACCCACGGAATGATGAAGTATCGTGGCTCAACCAGAGGAGCAGTAATGAGAGACAACGCCGTGGCCGCGAGCCAGACGAGCACGAAGCTCACCTGCGGCGCCCCTTGCTGCTGCTTCTGGCGCTGAATGAGGTGGGCTTGGATCCTGGCGAATGCCTCCTCGGAAATGGGCTCCGGCTTGGGTGCCGCCGGCTTAGGTGCCTTGACAGCCTTCTTTGCTGTCTTCTGCTTGCGTTCCGCCTTCTTCTGAGTCGGCTCTTTCTGCTGCTCCGGGTACTGCCAGGCTGCAGGTTGCGAAATCTGCCTCATCTGGGGCGGCTGAGGGGCAGTGGAGAAACCGAGGGCAGAGATTACCATCCATGCGCAAAGGAAGTAGACGACAACAGCGGCGTACTTGACCGCTGGATGGGTTCGTAGGAGCATCCGGAAAGCGTAGAAGACGTAATGGCGGTTGTCAGCCAGCGTGAAAGGATGCACAATGGTGTTGAAGTGGACAACAACTAGCATAGTTGGGATCACAATAAGTGCTGTCAGCAGCTTTGGGAGTCCCTTCTGTTTCTCGGAGAAACCGAAATCAATGAACTGTGGAAGGAGGGACTTGGGAAGAGCCAAGTTGATGACAGGTCCGAGGAGTAGTGGCCAGGAGAAAAACACAATGTAGGGCCAGATGTAGAGCATCTGCGGCAGATGAATGCCGGCAGTGTGGAATTCCTTGTGCCCTGGGGACTGTCAGTGAGCTACATGAGGGCTTTCTGGAGACGAATAAACCCACCTAGGACAACACCATCATTCCAGAAGACGAATGCACCAAACCCGGCGAGGATGAGGAGGTACGGAACAGAAGTACTGATCACGGTGCCGAGATTACCCACGGCAACCGTTAGCAGTGAAATAGAGGTTTTGAAATAGTCTAGAATTGTCAACCAAGCCAACAACAAGCCTCATGAACAAAAAGCCCACCTTCAATAGAAGCCTCCGAAACGAGAGGGTCGTACAGCTCATTCTGCCATCCCTGTCGAGCAATGCCCGCGAGACCCGACGACCGGCACGGCTTAGATATCAGTCTCAGCTGCCGGGTAACCTGCAGTCCACCTAGAAAGATGGCTCCCCAGAAAATGTTCGTCTGTCTAAACGCCAACGCTACTAGTCCGAGGAGAATAAAAGCCCCGGTTTTGAGTGGAGCCCACGCGCCGTTTGCGGAACGTTTGAGGTCCCAGTTGTATGCTTCAACAACCACTAGCAAGGCAAGAATATCGGTGTAGTAAAGCCCAGAAAAGAAGAAAATGGGCGGGAAGAGGCAGATGTTCAGCACCGTATGGCTGAGCCAAGCCCCAGAGGGACGTGTATTGCGAGTCTTGCGCAATCTATCCAACAACGTCTGCAAGCGATACGGTAGCGCAATGGCAGTAGCTGCCACGTTGGTCGCACGCAGCACTTCCGGGGTAAGCTCCGTAGGAGCACCACGAAGGAACAGAAGAACTGCGCACAGCCCATAGGACCAGAGATACAGCCCCGGAGGAGTGGTGATTTTAGGATCCCAATGCGTCCATTTGTGAGCCCAGTAAGCCTGCGCTTGAGGAACGTGGAACGCTTCGTCCAGATATGGTTCGGGGACATGAGCATTGATCCTGCTCAGCCAGATGGGGATCAACAGCAAACAAAAGGGCACGGCATAGCGAGCGGCCAACACCACGCCCGACTTCGGTTGCGCATTCATGATGAGGTATGCCTTTTCAAAAGAAACTCATGCTTTCACAATTAGAGGGGAAAGGACATCCAGGATCAAGTCCGACAGCTCCGAAAAGGGAAGAATAAATCCCGCTGCAAACCGGGCAAACAGACCGCCTTCCCACGCGCCTGTCAATCTTTCTTTGATCTTGAATGGCATGACTGAACAGCTCGTCTGTCGCATTTTGCTCTCTTTTCATCTGTTAGAGATCGATCACAGGGCATGGACCGTGTCCCTCTGCTAAGCCTTCCATCCCTTTCCATCGCCCAATTTGCCTGACTGAGGGACAATGGCCTTTCCCCTCCCGCGGGGCATCACGCCCCCGGAGATCTCCTTTCTGGCCGAGATGGAGATGGTCACTATCCTGCCGCGTCAGCGCCTGGAAGGGCTGGAGTTGCTTGGTGTAAGTGTTAGCGATCGAGGAAACACTCCTGATATGCTTCAAATATCCCCATTCGCATTCATAGTCGATTTTCCATAAACCACTCACGCACATGTAACCGAGCCGCGTCTTTATACAACCACCTCTCCTTTCTCCACTCCGCACCAGCATCTCCCTCTCTCAGCGCATATGGAAGATTCTAAAGCTTGAATACACCAGGGTCCCCTTGAACCTCTCATACCCCCCCGACGCGCCTCCCTCCCCCTCTGGCTCGCGCTTCTCCTCAAACGCCAACGACGCGCCAACATCCTCCCGCCCTCGTGGCTCCATCCGGAGTCCCTCTCCTTCATCCTGGACATCGAGACCCAATACGAAGAGTACAAGGACACCTTCTCCCCGCCGCCGCCCCTACCGGGCCAACCCCTCCTCCACGACCGCGGCGAGCCCGCCGTCGCCACCCCGCGCTACACTCCGGACGGCGAGAAGTACTACCCGGCGCCGCCGTTCCTGCCGCAGAACGTCGCGCGCGACCATGTCCCACCGCAGGAGCTGCAAACGCTGCCCTTCCACTGGCTCGAGGTCGGGAATATGCTTCTGGACGCAGCGAGCGACGACCTGGTGGACCCCGACCAGACCCGCCGGCTGCTGAAGGAGCTGCGCGAGGTGCGCATGGCCAAAATCCGGTCCGGGGTGGACGCGCTAGACGCCGCGGCGATGGGCGGAGGCGGCGTGGCGCTGACGGGCGTCGGGGCGATCGAGCTCGGCGAGGGACGGAGGTTTATCTCCGGGGTGGTCGATGGGCTCCGGTATGATTATTTCCCGTGCACATCACGGGGAAGGTTCTTCTTTGGTTGCTTGCAGCTGGCTAACTTTTTTGGTCCTCAGACGGATCGGCGCATCCAGAGAACAGGCTCGGAGGGAGGAGCTGGCGGAGGAGATGGCTAACGGTGGATACGATGCGACGCAGGACGATGACGATGAAATGGAATTCTAGATCTCGGGATGACGGCCCCTTCCTTTTTGACACTGGGCTGCTCATCTGCAGTCGGCGTTTATGGAGACATAGAGTACTTTTTTTTTTTTGTTCATGGCATTTTGCAGCACCCAACCGGGAAAGTCATATGTATATATACCCTCGCGTATTCTTTTGATGACAGATTTACTACACCGCATACAGTGCATATCAATCTGGTCCATTTACTTGGAAATGATACAATCCCCCGCCGTATGAACAAGCTGCGCCCTGCAAGAAAGGTTGAATCCGTCCAATAGGGACAGCAACCTACAGCAACTTGCAGTAAAGTCAACACCATCACCCCCGAAACATGGGAACTGTCGGAGCCGAGCCGAAAAAGGTACTGTCAGCATTGATTGAATCTTGAACCATCCTCAACGCCGACAAAAAAAAGCAAAGGTATAAAACTAACGACGAGAGCTAATAAAGGCCAGGTCACAAAAAAAAGAAAAAGGGAAAGGACAATCAAAATTTGACTGGGAGAGAAGCCTGAAGCGATGAAAGCCCGAAACGATCGATCCCATGCATATATGCAGGCCGTGCTAAGTCACAACGAAGAGATAGTGAATGGTAGAGAGGGAAGAGCCTAGGCGCAGAGCCACATCGAAAAAGGGGGGGCCCTCATTGAGCAGCAGCCGTCTGGTCCTTTTGCATCATCTTCCTCCTCGCCGCCAAGATCATGTCGTCCCTGCGCTTCTGGAGCAAGCGCTGTCGCTCCTCCTTGCTCTGCGACCAACCCGTGGAGGACTGAGCCTGTGAGGTCGCGGCGTCCTCGTCTGCGCCGACTTTCGAGCGAAGGTTGTACCGAGAGATCAGGTCCTGGCCGTCTGCCTTGGGCGCAGCGGTGGCGGGCTGTACTGGCGCGGTAGGGGTCGGGATGGCGATCTGGGGTTGGAACGATGGAGGGGGCTATCGAGGTTGCATGCGGCGTTAGTTTGAACATTTGTTCCGACTGCTGAGTCTCTCCCTCCCTCCGGCAAGAGAGGGTGAACAGTAGCAGAGTGCTACCACATTAGGCACAAGACTTACCACTTCGAGGCCACGGCCCGTCAGGATTCTTTCCGTAGTAGCGGCCATGTTCCCTCCGTTGCGCTGTAAGTCCCACATGATCTCGCGATGGCTGAGCTGAGGAAACATCTGCGAGATCTGCTCGACGTGGGCTGGATCGACGCCATTTCCTCGCGTGCGGCTGCGACCGGTTCCGGCCCCAGCATCTCCGTCACGGTTGAAAAACCATCGAATCACGAAGAAAGAGACAACGGCGAGGGTGAGAAGGGAGGGGATGTTCAGGGACGGTTCTTCGTCAGGCATGGTGATGGGTCACGTGTGAAGGAGGGGACTGCGTCAGTGTTGGAGGACTCGAGGGATGTCAGATGTGAGAGGCGTGAGATCGCCGAAAATGAGTGGAAGAATAACTCTGGCCTCACGTCACCCGCAACAGGGGCAAATTGTCGCTAAAAGGTAAATACCGGGTGGAGACGCTTCCAGGGAGGGGGATGTTGGATAAGTCGAGGAAAGCCGCGGCAGATTAGGGAGAGCGGCGATGTGGTGGCGGTGGAGCAGTCGGGAGGGCGGAACGGGAGGGCGGAATCCCTGCTGGATAACTCCGTATGAAGTTCACTAACTTAGTTACTTCCGCTGACGGCATCCTGCCTACCAACTCGTACTCTATTCGTACGTTTGAGTAGTACATATACACCACTCTCGACTATTTCAAAAATGCCGTGTTACTATCAACAGATGTCATTAAATTGTAACAGCAAAGTCATCCAGATTCATATACATTATCCGAAAACACCTCATGCAGTAACCCCCATGACCCGGTCATATAACGCTTCCTGTCCCAGTCCTTAACCAGAAAAGCCCAAAAGAAGTATGCACAAACGAAGAATCAAGTGTCTGTGGAGGACGAACTTATTTAAGGTCCGCAGCAGTCAAAGCTTGGACCACACTGGTACCCTCGCTGAATCTCGTGCGGAAGATACGGTTGGCGTTCTGGAACATACCGTCCTTCAGCGACACCACGATGAACTGAGATCCCTTGAACCGCGTCTTGATCAAGCGGCCGATGTTCTGTGTGTGTGAAAGATCCAGAGCGGCATCAACCTCGTCCAGAATGTACATAGGGGCCGGCTTGAATTGCAGCAGCGCCATGATCAAGGAAAGGGCAATGAGAGACCTGCTCATCTGTAAGTGTCCATACACGCAAAGTCTTTCTCCGTATGGTTTCACGTACCTCTGTCCACCACTCAGTTCCGTCAAGCTCTGCTTCCAGACCTTACCCAAGGAGACCTTGACTTCCAGACCATCGGTAATATCCTTGCCCTCTGGAGGATCCAGCTTGGCGAAACTGCCCGGCAGAAGTTCTGAGAAGATCTGACCGAAGTCACCATTGACCTTAACCCATGTCTTGTGAAGAGCCTCCTTTTTGTATTCATTCAGGTTGATGATCGTTTCCTCGATCTTGCTCTTGTCCCGAATGACAGTCTTCATCATGTTCTTCAGCGCAGCTTCCTTCTTCTCCACGCTGTCGATCATGTTCATGACCTTGGGATTGATCTTCTTCTTCATACCCTGGGACCGCTCCGTGAGATTCCGCAGAGTTGATTTGCACTCGGCAATGTTGTGATTTTTGAAGTCGTAGGGCGTGTTGGATCGTCCAAAGTTATCCTTCTCGTCCGCGATCCACTCATGCTCGTTTTCCATATGGGCAACCGTCTGCGCAGCCACCTGCTGGTCCTTTTGTAATTTCTCCAGCTGATGGCCCAGCTTCTGCATCTCGAGACCGCCTTCAGTTATCTGGGAGCCTTTAGACTTCATCGCCACTTCGAGCTCGCGTAGTTCGTTATCAAAGCCGCTAAGCTTGGCTCGTTCGTCATCAAGCTGAGCCTGTGCAAGGTCGTGTGCATCCTATGACATTTTTAGCACGCAACTTGCCACTGCAATCATTCGCTTGCCTACCTTGACCCGAGCCTGTTCTCTCTTCAATGACTGAATCTCCTCCAGCTGAGCCTTCAGTGTATTTTCGGCTTCGGAGCTCTGCTCCTCCGCCGCGGACAGGTCACTGCCAACCTGCTCCAATTCCAATCTGGAGTTCTGGAGTTCCTTCTGTAGGGTCTTCACGGAGTTGGAGTTCTTAGAAAGCTTCCTCTTAAGAGAGTCCAGGGAGGCTTGCAGCTCCGCCAGCTTGCTGTCCTTGTTGTCGTTGAACTCGCTCATGTCCTTCTCGATTCGCTTGATATCCTTGGATGCTTCTGTTTGTCGAGTCTTCGCGTCAGAAATGTTCTGCTTCAGCTGCTCGATATTCGCTTTCATCTCTTCGACGGCTTGAATGATCTAGTTCCAGTGAGCTGCTGTTGTGAATTGTGTGATTTGAGATATGCATCGTAGACTTCTCTTACCGTTGAAGACGAGTTGCCGCTGATCTGCTCTTCTGTAAGCTTGATCTCGTGCGTTTTGAGATCCAGGTCCTGCTTGATCGTTCGGGCTGCGTCAAGCTTCTTCTTTTCCTTCTTCATGGTCTCTTCGACGGTGGCGAGGAGTCGCTCTTTGCTGCGGATCTCTCTGGTGATCTCATTCAATTTCCCGAGCGTCACGAGCACACCACTTGAGTTCGGGGAGCTGCCACCAGACAGTGTACCCGAAGGATCATAGACGTCGCCTTCGAGCGTCACACTCTTGATACGAACGGATGGATCGAAAGTGACACGCTTGGCCGTCTCAGCGTCCTGGCAGATCAAGGTATTGCCAAAAACATAGTTCATTGCCGCCGTAACTTCCTCGTCGTAACCGATTAGTGACAAGGCAAGGTCAACTTTACCAGGGGCGATATTCTGAGCAGCTCCGATCTTCTCTGCGGAGGCCATGAAAGACGAGATCTTGTTCAAGGGAATAATTGTCACACGCTTCTTAAGCCTGCCGTTCTTTAGAAGTTGGGTACCAGTCTCGGCAGAATCAACGACAACGTTGTACAAGCGTCCACCAGCGCAAATCTCCAACGCAGTTGCAGCTTGAACCTTCTCCTTGTCCAAGGCGAAAAGCTGCGCAACAAGACCCTTGACCTTTGAGCGATCGAAATGAGGGTGAGGATCAGCGTATTGGAAATCGATATTTGCGACCTTCCTCTGGAGCTCGTCAGCTCTCCGGCGCAGCTCGCGGATGTCCCTTTGCAGCTCCGCCTGCTCCTGGTTAAGCTGTTCTTCTCTGCCTGGCTCATATCCCAGCCTAGTAAGCTCAGCCTCTAGCTTCTTCGCCTGAGACTTCAATCCTTCCAGTTCTTTGAGGAGACCGGAATTCTGCTCTTTTGCCTTCTTCGCCCTGGGCTCTTCCTCCTTGATTCTCTTTTCCAAGTGCGCGATTTTCAATTTGGCTTGCTCCTGTTCCGTCGCAGCTGCGCTAGCACGATTACGGGCATCCTGCAGCTGACCCTGATAACCGCTCTCCTGGCCTTCTTTCGAAGCCACACCGGTCTGGAGTGTTTGCAGTAGTTCCTCTTTCTGCTCTACCTCGGAGGTCTGGGCGTCCAGTTCTGCTTTGGCGGCATCGTACTCGGCCTGCATCTTATCGTAGACCTTCTTCTTCTCCTTAAGGGCCTTTTCCAGGTCGCTAACTGCTTTCTGGGATTCCTTCATTTTCTCCTTCTCCTCGGCGATGCTAGCATTCTTGAGGTCGAATACCGTAGTCAATCGGACGAGCTCGTGCGAGTTAGACTTCACTTCGTCTTCCAGGGCCTGGAACTTGCCGCCCTTACGGAGCTCCTTATCACGAGCGGCCTTGACTCTCTTCACATCGTCCTCCAAGTGGGCGATCTCGCCCTTGAGCTTCGTTGCGCTGTCCTCAAGCTCCTGCACCCTCCGTCTCTTATTCTCACACTCCTCCCCCGTCACACGTAGCCGCTCATTGCTCTTCAGGTAATCGTGGGCCACAACCAGCCGCGTCAAGCGCTCCAGGTCGTTCTGGGTCTGCTGGAAATCCAAGAA